TGATTGACTAAGTTTTCTTGATTGAAAATGCACATTTCCCCACATTTCTCCATTTTCTAAAATTAGAATATGTCTTACAGTTGTATTCTGATTGGATTGAAATCAAGTTTCTCAAGAGAGTATTTTCAGATAGTTCTATCTGAAGTTGTCTCAGGTTGGTGGCCCTACATGTTTGAACTCAAATTTACCAGGAAATAATTTTTCTCTCCCTTCACCCAGTGTCAGTGAGACTTGCAAGATGTCTGTTAATTATTTTTATGGAGTAGATTTATTTCTTATTTACCCCTAAACTGAAATACACCCTTTGGCAATCCAGTTTTGTTTGGCCAATATTGATCAATTTTTCTTCCTTTTTTGTGAAATAAAAATGTCTTATATTTAATGGTATTTTAGGTTTAATAATGAAATTTAACATTTATATAGTTTCAAGCAGTGTGCTATCCAGTCCCCAAGATTCTCCCGTGATCTGCTCTCTTGATAGTCACTCCTTGGTGAGTCCCTTCCCATACTGAGTGAAATAAACAGGAAATGATTGTGTGGTATCCAGTGCTGGGTCATAAAAGAACTTGCTATGTTCTCTTGGTCTCTTTTGTCACTCACTTTGGAATAAGCCAGCCACCATGTTGCATAGACACTGAAGCAGCCCTAAGGAGGGGTTCATGTAGCAAGGGGATGAGACTTTCTACCAACCCCAGCACTAACTTGTAGGGCGTGTGAGTTGACGCAGCTTGAAGGCTGCCTCCAAAGAAGCCTTCAGGAGCCACCCGCTGTAGTTAACCATCTCATAATGGACTTCAAACTCATGAGAGACCCTGAACCAGACCACTCAGCCAGGCCGTTAACAGACTGATCATTCTCAGACACTGAGATTACAAATGTTTATTATTTTAGGTCACCAAAGTTGGGCAGCATTTCTTATATAGCAATCATGACTAATATAAAAGCTAGAAAAATATATTTTGATACAAAAATTGTAGTTGTCTTTTCAAAAGAAATTTTTAGCTCCTTGTTTTCAAATGATCTCTTCCAGGTATTTCTATTATTTTCAATTGAGATCTAAATTGAAACTGAGTATTTTCTCTACCTACTAGAAGGACTTGCAAGGGACTTCAGTTTTATATATTATGATTTGTACATGCTTCAAACTTTATTGATTCACTGAAGAGATTTTTCTGATAACTAAACAGGTAAGAATAAAGTACCTATCACTGTTTGTTTTTTAGAATGAGAAGGTATTGGTTGGATTACTTGTAATCCAGAAGGAATATTTTACTTGCAAAAGTGTCTTCAATTACTCTAAAATACCTAGTTTGGGAGTCACAGCTAAAGAACTGTGTTACGTCACTTGTAAGGTTTGAGGCGATCATACTAAACTCTGGTTGGTGGGCTAAGTTATGATTTGGAGGTCCTGCAGCTCCATCTTTTAAGCTTGTCAAGGCTATTAGTATGTTTTAATGAGTATTTGCTGAGGACTTTGAAATGCCTCTTGGCTTTTGATGTCAAAACAAATTTGTGCTATCTAGTACCCAAGATGTCAATTAAATTTATTGAAATAGATTAATATCTAATTTTTCTTCTTTGGTATTCAAATTGATTGCTTTAACCTGTATTTTGGTTATTGTTACTGACTGCTATAGAAATTCAGTGGTTTCCAAACTTTGTTGTTCACTGAAATCTCCTTCAGAGGCTTTTATTTAAAGACATAAATAGTATGTCTTTTAGTATGAATAATTCTTGTAGATTTATCCTAGTTTTCTAAGCTATAGCCTCCAGGAGTGGAAGTTGGAGACCTGTAATTTTTTTAAGTGAACAGACTCTCCAGTTGATGTTTTTAGAGTCATTTCAAACACTCCCACTAGTAGGTGCATCAGAAACCACTGGCTTCACTCCACACCTGTCTGCCTCCACCTTCACCCCAGCCTCCAAGTCCACAGGAAGTGAGATACAGATGTATTTACAGACCAGTGGAGCAGGGCCTGCTGGAAGAAATCTGAGTGGTGATTTGGTCCAAGCACCCTCACTTTTCAAATGAAGGATTCCTACCTCAGGAGAGAAATGACTCACTTCTGTTGGGTTTTAGTAATTCCTGTAGCTTTTTGACAACGTGGTTGGAAATTACATATTGTAAAAACAAATTTTAAAACAATGGCTGGTACAAATCTCTATTCTAGGAAAAAGATAACATTTATTTTCTGGCCAAGAAAGCCTTTTAATCGAGAAAGTAAGGCCTCACCTTGCATGTGATTTAATGATAGCATGTATGTATGTGTTTTTAATGATACATGACCTTTGTTCATATTTATGAGGTAATACATAATTATGATAAAATAATACATATATACAATGTATGATGATCAAATAAGGTTAATTAGCATTTCTATTTCCTCAAACATTTGTCTTTTGTATATTGGTTTTTGGGTTGTGTTTGTATGTTTTTTTGAGTGTTGCTGTGTTCTTCAGGCCAGCCTTGAATTTGCTATGTAACCCAGACTGGCCTCGAACTCATAGTGATCCTCCTGCCCAGCCTCCCAAGTGCTGGGATTAAAGGCATGCACCACCATTCCTGGCCTCTTTTCTATATGTTGGGGACCTTTGGACTCTTCCAGTTATTTGGAAATATATCATGATAGTTTTCTTGAGGAGACTTGTCTAATGTTGAATATGAGTAGGAGTGAACATATATTTCAGTTTTAGATCGGGTAAAGAATTGGTTAGGTTATTTTTAATTCAGAAGAAAATATTCTATTTGCCTGGGTACAAAGACTTCGAAAAGAACTAACTCTGCAATACAGGTTAAAGGCTCACAGCCTGAGAGAGAAGAGCACATTGTTAGGAAACTGAACACAAGTGAAAGGTCACAGGATCCCTGTGAATATCTGCTGGCAGAGGCCTGAAAGAAAGGGATGACCATGAGAAAATTTCTGTGGTAAGGGAGCCTGGAGACAGGGAAGAATGTGATATCTCAGGCTGGGATACTTAGATTTATAATAAGAAATATGTATTTGGTCCCTGATTCCCAGCACATAGCTCCCATAACCCTTGCAATCTTTGAAGAGGTAAATCTCTCTATATACACTAATGAGATCACTGGTGGGCTGGTGGCTCCTGGGCAGCCTCAGCAGGGGCCTGATTGCCAGGGGAACCTGCCCCTCCCACCTTATCTCCTGAGAGGGGAAAGAATCTGAATGTTGAGTTGATTAATGGCCAATGATGTGATCAATCATGTTTATGTAATGAAGCCTCCAGAAAAACTCACAGGATGGGGTTCAGAGAGCTTCCAGGATTTTGGACCCCAAGAGGACATGCAAGTGCCACACACCTTCCCCCGTCCATGTCCTATGCTTCTCTTCCAGATGGCTGTTTCTGAGTTTTATCAAGTCTAGAAAATGATTGCACTCAAGGAGAAGGTTATGAGAACCTCTAATTTATAGGAAGTTTTTCAGAAGTAATTAAGACCCCAGATTTTCCATGGGCCTCCAAATTGGGGGCCAGTATCATGGAACTGAGCCCTTAACCTGTGGGACTTGACTCTAGCTCCAGGTAGAGAGTGTTAGAATGGAAATGAATTACAATACACCCAGTTGGTGTTGAAGAATTGGTTGTGTGGGAGAAAACCTACATATCTGGTCCCAAAAGTGTTCTGTGTTAGATGTTAAGAGGGTAGTAGGAGAAAAGAGAAATTTCATGTTATCACCTGAATTGTGCTATAATTTGTTCTCCACTCTTGTGACTTTCTCTAAAATGTCATCTACACACACTAATCTTGTGTTGGTGGTGATTTAGAAATAAAGGAAGAGGAACAGGATAGGGTAACAAGAGAGGTATGAAGATGGAGAGTTCAGTGGAAAAAGAAGACAAAGACCAGAAAGAGAGGGAAGAGAAGAGAAAACAGAAGGAGAAGAGGAGAGAAGGGAAGGGAAGGGGAAAAGAGGAGGAAAACCCCAAGTGGAATCTAATTCCGAAGAGACTCCCAGAAGATGTAGGGCGCTGGGTTTCAGAATGAATACGAAATGAGTGCAAGCTACTTTTCTTAGATGTTAAAGGAAAGAGTGACCTCCAGAAGAAAGACTTGAGAACTAGAATTCCAATAGCAGACACTTGGATGGCATTAGAAGGTTTCTATGAAATGGAAGAGTACATGTCAGACCACATACATTCCTGCTGCATAGAAGCTTCGGGTTCTGATGGACATTCCCCCCAGAGGCTGACTGCCCTCCTTCCTGCATATCCAGCTGTTTTTTTGGACACAGTTTCAGTGCTCCCCAAGAATAAATCTGCAAGTACTCCATCACAAAGAAGACAAGTTTACAATAGCTGAGGACAAATGCTTAATTTAAACCCCAGGGAGGGACCAAGGTTGTCAAGGGAGAAGGGAGGGATTCCCCAGCTCTTCCAGGCCTTTGTGTTCTGTGATTCTTAGGAAGAGAGGGCCAAACCCTGGTTTTGTACAGTGATGAATAAAATTGCCTGGCTGGGTGTCAGCTGGCCTGCCAAACCTGGCAGCTGACAGAGAAGGAATGGAGAACTTTCAAAGAACTGCTTAATCTGCATGAGTGTTTAGCTCATATACACTGTTTGCATATAGATTACATAACATCCGTGACATGCACAGAAGGGCTTTGGATTCTTAGGAACGAAAGCACTTAAAAGTAGACCACTTCTACAGCAACACAAATCATGGTAGAGATCCTGAGCTCACACATGGGGTGATTTGAGCTGCCAGAGGATGCTTAGCAGCCAGAGAGGAACATGTGAGGACAAAGGAAGTCATTTTCATAGTCAGGGCCCCAACTGGAAACTGGGGATGTTGCCTGGCAACATAGTCTTCCTATCTTTCCCTTCAGTCTCATCAAAAGCATAATAAGATATCTCCTCCCTTTTTCTTCTTCCATGGATCTTCATTTTTCACCTAATTTCACATGGAATTTGTTTAGAACCTGGTGTGATTTGTTTCAGGCTTAATAATAAAGATATTGTTGGTTAACGATAGATCACTTCTCACAGAAAAACTGGACACTAAGGAAGCTAAATTCCATTCCTCCAAAGCATCTGGTTCCTCCTAGAAGTTTCCTGACTTCTGTGGGCAAAATGTGATGACAAAGGCTCACAGCTACTAATGGTGAGTGCAGCTTCTCTGAATTTGAAATGTAGTCTCTGCAAACTTACGTCACAAAGTTAACAAGTTGGCTTATAGATCAGACTCTTTATGTGGTTGGTTAGTATGGATCAGTTCACCACGCCTGAGTTCCCCTGAGAGTCATGAAATCCTGTTCTCAAAAGTGCAGATTTGAGGACTAGGACTCTGTGAAAAATTCTTTGGAGACCAAAAAGGACAAGTTTGTAAGATAGAGAACACCCATACTGTCTCTAGAACCTCAAGCTATTTGTATTGGTTCCCCTTCCATTCCTCTTAGTCCTGCTGGGTGATATAAACTAGTTTGAGATACGAATTAACCCAATGAGGCCAGATTTAAAACTGGTTACCCTGCCTATTCCCCACCAGGTTTGCAGTTCTAAGAAAGCATCAGAAAACACAGGGCTACTGATATGTCTTTTTTGCTGCCGATAACAACACAGGAGTCACGTGACATGCTCTGTGTTTCTTGGAGCAGTGCCCAGGGGACAGGATAACCACGATCAAGTGAGAGCTTCAGTCATATCCAGAATGTCACACAACCTGCTGGAAAATGTCCTCACTAATGCTAAACACTGCTTTCACTGTCGCCTCTCTTGACCCCTTCTATCACAGTTCAACATAACTCACACTTTATTGCCATGTGCAAGGAAAATATCTATTCCTCACAAGATCTTGAAGAAAGTAATTTCTGAGCATTGTCCCTGGATGCTGTGAGAAGGCATGTTTTGATAATAAGGCTGTGGCTTTTCCTCTTCTCTCTAAATGCTGATCTGATTAGTGGGGAGGGAGACAGGGAAGTGGAGAAGAAATTGCTACAATCCTTGGAGGAATTGTAAAGAGCTAGGACTTCTATCTGAGGCCAACTTTTCATATCAATTGGGATTCTTGAACCAGACGTTTTCAGTAGTTGATGACAGAGATTCAGCAACTCAGGAGCAGGATTTGCTGTGTACAACATGAGATAAATTATGCAACAAAATCTCAAAGACTGTGTGAACAATTCAGGAATAAGGGTGTTTTCTGAACTGCATTCATCCATTGTCTTTTGCTAGTTACACAATTAATTACCACAGCCTGGGTAAGTGTTATCACAGAGAGGTTTATTTTGGCTCATAATTCTGGAAGTCCAAGTTCAAGGGACTACATCTGGTGACAGCCTCCTTGCTAGCAGAGTTCCAAGGTAGTGCAGGGCATCACAGTGGAGACAGGAAGCATGCACGTATAGGAGGATTTCTTCCGTTCTCTCTCCCTCTTCATATAAAGCCATGAAGATTCATCCAGGGGAGCTCCACCTTAATGACTTCGATCTAATCACTTCTCAGAGGCTTTATTTCTAAACGCTATAGTCAGATTAAGTTTCCACTCTCTTAACACCTCATAATGGAGATTAAAGTTCAACACACGAAACCTTGGGGGGACACACTTAAACCATATCCAAACCATAAGACTAATCAAAACTGGAACTTCAGAAGCTATAAAAGAAAAAAGAAGAGACATTTCTAAAATTTAAAATAAATAAAAATATTTTGTGGGTATATATTGCAGAAAGTTAGCAGGCAGGTCATTTGAGGGGGAAATTATAGATAATGCAGAGAACAAAGACATTATGTTTATATAAAAATTTCTTATAAATCAGCCAGGAGGTAAATGTGAATGCTTCTGGAATTCATGAATCTATTAGAGGTGGCAGCCTAGCATAAAATAGAGTGTACAGTAGACCATTGCTTTGGAGTAGGCTCCTGCACTAGGCCCCACCAACCAGGCTGAAAATCAAAATGCACTCACTCATGCCCAAGTTCCATGTCACCAAGCTGAAACTAAGCTATTTATTTTATCTTCCAAGAAATCAGAATTAGATAACTGCTAAATTTCCCAAACAGGCCAATTTCAATTAACATAATAATGAAGTTCCTTCTGTCTAATCCTTCTTTACTAAAAAAAAAAAAAATTAACATGAAGTAACCTGATATTAATCAGTTATTTTCTATTGTCTGTCTCCCAGTGCCTAACTTGCAAGAAAGAAACTTTGAAATGACCAGTCTACCTTTTATTCTTTGTTTCCACTATCTTCAACATCTTTTGGTCTATAAAACCAACTTTCTCTGCTCCGCTCATTGGAACACAATCCATTTTAAGGTAAGAAGTGTTGTCTGCTTCTAGAATCAAAAGTAAAACCAATTAAAATCTTTAAATTAAACTGTAATTTTGTCCTTTGACACTAGTAAAATAAAAATTATACTAACCACATTCCTCATGGGAGAAACCATGCCAAGTCTTCATGTAACTATCTCAACTGCATGCAGAGGCAAGTGTTATTCATACCTCTCTTTTAGAGAAGAGAAACGTGTGGGCCTGGGATATAAATCAGTGGTAGAGGTGCTTAGCATACTTAGCAGGCACAAAGCCCTGGGTTTTATCCCAAGTACTACAAGGGAAAAAAAAAAGATGAAGAACCCAAGACTCAGAGTAGTTTGCTTAAGATCATACAATAAATGACACAGATATAAAAAGATAAAAAGAGATCAAAATGAAAGACAACATTAAGAGTTTAAAAATTAAAAATGAGTATAAAAAGATAAAAACTAAAACTTCAAGGTAAAAGTAAAGGGTAAATAGGAATTTAGCAGAGCAAATCTGTCTGCTTACTTCTTAAAAGCCAATACTCAGGAGATGAGGGTTGGTGGAAGGAAGTCAGGTTTGTTCAAGGGCTGGAGCCCGGCAAAGAGGCAGGGAGCTATTGTACCCTCCCAAAAGAATTTCTTATGGAACCAAGGTGCACAAAAGGGCTTTTCTAGGGTAGGAAAGGAAGTGCAGAGGCACTGGGCAGGAAGGCTATGTGCTGGGTGTGATCTTTGTGATTCTGGGCATATGTCTCCCTTTGTTCCTTTGGCCAAGACGTTGTATGTAGTTGACCTTGCCTTCCTTGGCTTAGTTTTCATAATACTTTCGACCAGTGGTGGCGAACCTATAACATGCATGCTGCAGTGGGTACACAGAGCCCTGTCTTTTGGCACTCAAGCCAAGACAACCCAGCAGCTGAGCATCAGATAACACTTATTTTTTCTAAACTAAAACCTCAGTATTCAGGTTTAATTGCAGTGTAGGCACTTTGCAATAAATAAGTGGGTTTGGGGTTACAGTTGGGCACCTGGTCCCTAAAAGGTTCACCATCACTGCTTTAGACAAACATTGCTTTTCTACAAATTAAACCTCACAGCACTTTATAGAGTTTGCATTAGTTGATGCACAGTTCTGAAAAATAAGGAGGCACATTTACATTCTGATGTTATCTGAAGCTATACAGATGTACTCATTCTAAATGGTTGTAAATCTAATGAAAGATTATTTAGCAGTTAACATCTTAATTATTTAGGATCCCCATCTTTTAGAATTTAGAATATGTATCAAGCATTGGAGGGGAAGAAACTCTTCAAAGAACACCTCCGCAGAAAGAATCTACTATAACAGGAAGACATAAAAAGCAAAGAAGCCACAAGTAGTGGTGTCCACCTGTACTCTACTCCTAGCACTCTGAGAAACTCGGAAGGAGGACACAAGTTTGAGCCAAACCCACGCAACTTAGTGAGTTAGCAAGATTCTGTCTCAGAATTTAAAAAGGGGATTCAGAGGCTGGTAATATAGCTCAGTGTGTAGGCCCTGGTTCAGCCCTCAGTACCAAAGACAGAAAATGAGATTCAAAAATTTCAAGAATTCAAAAATAAAAGAATTAAATAGAGGCCATAAATTGAGGTAAAGATAAGAAACTAAGAGCTCAAAAGCATGGCAATAAGAAATATTAAAAGGCTTAGTCAAAGGTTACAGTTTAAAAGATAACACATCCGTAGGCTCAGCCCTGCCCATTCCCTGGGCCAAGGAGAGAGATGCAGCCTTCCTGAGTGGGGACAACTGTATCTGACACCCAGGTCCCAAAGATTTGCCCTGGGTATAGCTTCTAAAAACTAAGTTGAACCCTCTGCTATAACCTCCATACCTAACCCTGGTTTCCTCTACCTTACCAGCTTCTGTTCTGGTCTCTGGAAGTCTCACCTCTCCCACTGCAACCTGGGGCAACCACATCTTACAGGCTGTATCTTGATCCCTTCCTTGCCAATTTCCTAGGAAGCCCTTCTTCAGGGAGCTGAGCTTGACCTTGGCTGGGCTCAGCATCAAACTCTGGGGAACTCCTTGTACTGTAACTCTGTGCGTGGTTTCATCAGTCTCTGCTACCCACCTAGAGTTTTCCTCATGGACCATTGGCCTATATTGGATCCAGACTAAGGATTCTGATAGGAATTGTCTGCTCTTTCTTGAGATCAGGATACAAAACTGGGGGAAAGGAAATGGGAGGATGTTGGATATAATTTCAAATCTTAGATTAGGATAAGGGCTAAAGAATTAAATAATCTCCAATAGAGTCTTGCAATGGATCTGAAATTAGGGCACCAATGGCAATAATGGGGCTTGATGTTGAAAAATAGCTTTCTAAACCAAGTGTTCCTCTGTGGTTCTTGTCAAGTGCTAGAGCCAGTCTCAGCGTGATGTTGCTGAGCAAAGAGGAAAGCAGGCTGGTACACTGGCCCACAGCAGCCAAAACTGCAGGCTGCCCCCAGCAGGGAAGATATGAATTTAGGTTAGACAACCCAAGTTACAGAGCCACAGTCCCCACTGAGGACACAGAAATCTCATTTAGAAGAACAAGTATGCAGCTGGCCAAGAGGTTTTGCAACCTGATGGGGAGGCTGTCAAGTGTGACAAAAGATCATCAGCACCAAGCATGAGTATGTGAGAATGACCTACCTCTCTCACTACTTGCAGCTAACTATGGGACAGTGCATCACCTGGCTCAGGTAAGTCACCATCAGAAACACAGCATAGTGAAAACAACTCACACAAGAACTATGTTAAATGGTAACTTTTCATTTCCTACCAGTACCAGTATATTCATGCTTTCCTGGAAGCAACATTACGACAAAAGCTATAGTCGTAAGATGTAAACAGAGATTTTTTTTTCTTTTTTTCTTTTTTTTTTTTTTTTTTGGTACTGGGGATCAAACTCAGGACCTTGCACTTGTGAGGCAGGCAGTGGCACCACTGAGTTAAATCCCCAGCCCATAAACAGAGATTTTCTTAGTATGGGGTTTAGGGATCATTCTCCCCCAACAACATCATCTTATCAGTAAGAAGCCAAAGTCTAGCAGGTTAATGGATGCCCCCAAGTCACTGAATTATGGAGGGCTTCTGGGATTCCTGTCTTTTGATACTAGGATATTGCTTTTTCCATTATACTGCTGGAGATTTTCAGGCAGTTTTTACCAGACAATGGGCTGCCCCAGTGCAATGCACCCAGTGAAAGTGCATGGCTCACTCACTTAGAGCTGCAGCATAGCTTGAAGCAACCTTTTATCAGAAGACTAGATAGTGAGAGACAAAAGGAGTTTCCTTAGGCTGCTAATAGATTTTCCTTATGTATGTCCTGTGTGCCCTAAATCCTCCCTTTCGTTGTGTCGCAGGACACTGAAGACTGCTAACAGTGCCAAACCATTATGAAGGAATAAATGATTTCTCCAAAAACCTTTGGCTCAGGGCATCTAGTGGCTTTGTGCAGCTAGATTCCTGAAAGCTCACCTTGCTATCACTTCCAGGAGGTGAGAGCCCGTGTGGCCTTCTTCTTCCATCCTTGCAGAACCAGTTAGCCTGCAGGCAACCTCAGGCCACCCAGATGGAGAGCACTGCCAGCTGGATAATGCATAGTTTTACTTCCCTAGGTCTTTGTAGTCTCCTGTGGGCTGAAGCAAGGACTCCAGGCTATCCTCTGATGAAAGTGAGTTGACAGACTTCACCAACATATTAGTGTAAGCTTTTCAGAATCACACAGAGATGTGTTCACATCAAATCAGTCTCGACAGTGAGTAATATGAATTCATAACTTGCTTTGTGAAGGCTGAACCAGAAGACCAGAGGCTATGGGGAAGCCAGCACTTAGAAAAATGAGTCATTCTCAGGAAATACTTGATTTTCTCTATTGTTCAGGTGTCAGGGCCCTAGCTGGTTCAACCAGGAGGGAAGAAATCAGTATATGTAATCCAGGCTGATGGGTCCTTTGGTTATAACTACAGGTAGATATAGTTTTAAATGTTGGCATTTGCCCTAATTTCTGGGCATGAGTCATTTCTTACCCTCAGACTGACACACCTTAAGAGATAATTACTAAGACAAACTTTTAAATATGTGGTCCATCCAGCTCTGTCCAGGAGGAAGGTTAGAAACATTTATGTCCCTTTCAGCCCAACAATTCATCCTCCTCTTCTGTGTGCAGCTGTGAAAGTTGAAGCATTGAGGGCTGCTTCTGGGCAGTGGGGGATTGACTGGTATAAAACAGTGCCTTTAGCAGCTCTGGGGCCAAAGATCAAAAGCCAGCCTCCACAGGTTTATTGCAAGTGAGAGTTTGAGTTTCACTCCAACATAGGAAAGAGCACAGGAATCAAGCAGTTAGGAAGTGTGGCAGACTACAATTATTGGGGGGCAGCTCTGTTGACTATTACCAACAGGGGTGTGCTAAATGTAGCATGTTGCTTTTTGGTGTTGACCAGTAGTGTCCCAAGGATGCCGGGTGCTAATTAAGCACACCTCATGGACCATTGGCCTATATTGGATCCAGACTCTAAGGATTCTGATACGAATTGTCTGCTCTTTCTTGAGGTCAGGATAAAAAATTGGGGGAAAGGAAATGGGAGGATGTTGGATATAATTTCAAATCATAGATTAGGACAAGGGCTAAAAATTAAATAATCTCCAATAGAGTCTTGCAATGGATCTTGGCCTTGCTGTCAAGGTTGGAAAACAACAGAAGCTGGGAAGTTCACTGAACCTGGGGAGCAAGTAGAGCTCAGGGCTATTGATAAGCAGGTCTTTGAGCTGTGGGTGCTGGTACTGATGGTGGCAGATCAGCTGAAGCCCTGTAGGAGCCAACCTTCTGTCTCGAGATACCACTTGTGTGATATATTTCAGCAATACTGGAACAGAGGGAGCTGGGTGTAAGACCAAGGGCCTTACCAAACGCTCCGAGGAGCTGACTATAGTGAAGCACACCCAGGAATCCCAGAGGTGCCTTCAGAATGTAAGACCGAGAGCCTTACCAAAAGCTCCAAGGAGCTGACTACAGTGAAGAACACCCGGGAAGGAACACACCAGACAAGTTGGAAAGCAGACCTTTATGAGTCTGGCCAGACGGCACTCCCGAAGCAAAATAGCTTAGAGAGGCAACTGGCTCAGAATCCGAGGCTGTTTTTATAGGGGGTTGAGGGGGAAGTTTAACATATTAAAGAAAAGGGGACAAAGGTTAGTGGTCGACTGTCACATATTGATGGTCAGCAGACATCTGCAGCTTGTTCTAACAATTGTGGTGCCTGGAATATCAGTTCCGGATAAACAAAGAGTTGAGTAGTTTACTCTGGGACTCTAGGTCTGTTACAGATCCCTATCTAGTGTCCCTAGACTATCTGGGACTCTAGGTCTGTTACAGATCTCTATCTAGCATCCCTAGACTAACAAGCATCTCCATCCATTAACTCACATTTTAATCACAATGGGGCTGGAGAAAAAGGAACAAAGGTTATGCAGTCCCACACTGGGCTGTTGCTGAAAAGTTCATATCACACTGAACTTCATCTTAACCAATTAAAAATAGATTTCCCTTTCCAAAATTAGATAAATCACACTAATTAAATACATGTCAAAGATTCCCAGAAAGAGATATCCTAGAGAAGGGGTAGGTAAACTCCAGTATGTGCAGGCCGCTAGCCTATTTATATAAATAAACTTTAATTGAAACACAGAAACCCTTATTAGTTTACAGATCATCTATGGCTGCTTTCAGGCTACAACAGAAATGCTGAGCAGTTGGAACAGAGATTTTAAAACCCTAAAGCCTAAAACATTTCCTGGATGGCCCTTTGAGGAAGTCACTGGACCTTGCTCTTAAGCAACAGTCCCTGGACCAACTGTTTCTAGGAGATCAAAGATCTCATTGAACTCACACATGGTACAGCTTCAGGGAGGTACCGTGGCAAGAACACCAAACTGGTGGCCCAGAGTCAAATCTGGCTTGGAGATATGTATTCTTTTGGCAGCATAGTTGTGTTTTACAAAACTTAGAAAATTTTCAAATCAGAAAATTCCACATAAAATATCTGATCTGGGGCTGCTCTTGAAAAATTGGGCAATCTGGCTACCCCTGACCCACATTCCTGGGTGAAAACTATGGGGTGAATATGGTCCTACTTTACCACAATCCCCACCATTTCTTATTGTCCTCTCATTACTAATGCAGGGTCAGCTACCATTTATCATGATTCTGGCCCTGCAGGTTCACCCCCAAGAATAGTTATGATATATTGACTGCCAGCTGGCATAGGAATTTGCAGCCCCTCATTAAAATCAAGATACTGTGGGGCCGGGGATTTAGCTCAGTGGTTCTGCCGCCTGCCTCGCAAGCACAAGGTCCTGAGTTCTCCTGCCTTGCAAGCACAAGGTCCAGAGTTCAATCCCTGGTACCAAAAATAAAATAAAATAAATAAATCTCAATGTTTTAAAAAAAAAAAAAAGATACTTTGCTTCGGGCTTGAATTCTCTCAGGTTCCTCTAAATACTGGTTGTGTTGTGCTGACCAGAAGCTCTGTGACTATGGACTATTTCATTATTCTGCTGATGGTTGCATGAATAAATTGGCTAGAAAAAAATAATAAAACTGATACCTACTAATGAAAAGATGGGAGACTATTGGTCTAAAACTAAAGCTAAGATAACAAAATGTATCATAACATATGATCAGAGCATCCCCTCACACACACAATAATCAGTAACTAGTAGACCATCAACTTCAGAAGAACACGTGTTCTGGCCACTTCTGATATTTTCTCCTCAACCACCCAGGTCCATCTGACTTGCTAGAATTTTTTCCCAAGGATTGCTCTGGGTGAGTTTTCCCCAAAGTATGTTCTTGGGTTGCCTGCATAGACTCACCTGGAGTGCTATTAAAGATAAATAGTCGTGGAGACTCCTGAGGCCAGCCACAGAGCAGTTATGGCCTGAGGCTTTCCACCATCAACATACCTGGGGGTTGTTGTTTATGATACAATTGTGGACAATTTTATTTACCTTCTGAATTCTAAGGATGAAGGTTCATTTTACTCTTTTCTCAAAAATTGAAGCCCTTACCTGCCATCACTAGGATCTACTTGCTTAATATACTGGGGGAAAAAAGAATATTTTAAAATCATTTTAAAAATCATAATTGTAACTTCCTTTCATCTGCATGTTTAGACACTTTAGCACAGAAAAAGTTTAATGTCTTATTTAGAACCTGTTAAAAGTTTAAAGTATAAAACTCCTAAATTCTGTGGCTAATTGAAAAGACGTTTAAAGTTTTATAGTCAGTTAACTATCAAAAGGCAAAAGGCACTTGAACAGTGTTAATTTTCTTCAGCACAGAAACCAATTCCTAAGAACCTGGAATCAGAAACAAAAGCTCTGGAAAAGGTGGTAATGGCCCCAGTGAGGCAGAAACTTATAGGGGAAACTGAGCCAGCTCAGCCTTCTGAATTTTCATACACAAGCAACACTATTGCATCTTCTTTAAATGCAAAGTGATGCCGAATGTTAGAAAATACAACTCTCTCCTTAGGTGTTGGCTATTTCTTTGTGGAACTCATGAATAAAGTTACAGTTTTACTTTATTTTTAGGGTACTTCACAGAAAAGTGGGGATTTATCCTAAGACATCATTCAAGGCGTCCAGTTCAGAATCTGTGCTAGCTCAGATCATGGCCTCTGAATAGGCTTCAGATGTTCTGTGGCTTGTCCTTTAATCCCAAGGTCCCAGAGCATGGGAGAATTTGGAGATTCCAAAGGGAGTTATTGATAGGGCTGGGCTGCTGAACTCTAAATGGCTGTCTTATTTTATTACTCACATTCATCCTTTAGATCACTAATTTTCTTCTAACAGCTCTCCATTTTTCATTTGTTAAATTAAAATATTTTCTTTTTAAAGAAGGTATTGAAGCCATAAGGTGTGAATCTCTTTATTGGGGAAGGGGATGTGTTTCTTTCAGCCTTGATTTACTTCCTCAAGGCTGGCTAAATGCACTCTGATTTTTCTGAATTTTAATTTGCACATGTTGGGGGGAATTTGTTTTAAAAAGACAGCTCCTCAATTTCTTTTCTGTATCATTCACGCCTTGTCTTCTGTGGTATGGAAAGTACTATTCCTAAGGTTGTTTCCTCCCTCTTCCTCCTTCTCTCTCTCCTTCTTACAGTCATAATACATGCTTACTGGGGACTAGTGATGTATTGTTTCTTCTGGTAGTCCTCTCCAACTCTGTCCTCCCATTTCCTACTCCTTTTCCATCATAGAACATGGGAGGGTTTTCCACTGCCCTAGATCCACTCCTCTATAAGAGTTCTCATACTTTTTTCTCTAACATATTCTGCCTTTTGCAAGTTGATTCCCAGAACCAGAATTATCCTTCTGTTCATGGCCACAGGATTCAATAGAAACCTCCATTCTCACTACCCCAGAACAGGAAAATCATCTGAGACTTCCTCCCCTATGTGTTCAAATATAAGCGAGTGTACAAAATCCATGTGTCTTAGTTACTTTCCTAGTCACCGGGACACAGTACCCAACAACTACAACTTAAAGGAGGGGAGGTTATTTGGGATCAAAGTTTTAGTCTATGGTCAGCTGGCTCCAAGGTAGAAATGGGATAATTGAGGGACATGGAAAGACACAGAGACAGAGAGGAGGGAGAGGAGTAGGGAACAACACTACATCCCTCCAGGCCACACCCCTA